TATTCATCTAAATTACAGTATACAAATTACAGTTGTGTGTTGCAAAATTACAGTAGACAGAAGTTTTTTTTTTGTATTTATAATTCATCTATAGATAATAGAATCCAAGTTTTTTACTCGATCTATTTATTTAGAGTTTAAATATCTGCTACGAATCATACATGCTTATTTTCAGTTGTTATAAAATGTTTTATGCACAGTTTGTATTATCGAAAAAAGGTCCTTTGGCCAAAATTTGGCTTGCCGCGCACTGGGAGAAAAAACTCTCAAAAGCCCAGATTTATGAGACAAATGTTCAGGATGCTGTGGATGAAATACTTCAACCCAAAGTTGGTTGATAATGTGATTTGAGTGTTCATAGTTATATGATGTTGTAGATTTGAAAATTGGGTCTTACAGAGCTGTAATTACATTACACATTTTCAAATTTTATTATTAGTTTGAATATAGAAACACAATTTGAAGGTCAAGTTAAATACGACATTTCGATTAATTATTGTTGCATGTATTTAAGGTAAAAATGGCTTTGCGTACGACTGGTCATTTATTGTTAGGTATTGTTCGAATATATTCTCGGAAGGCGAAATATCTTCTCGCCGATTGCAATGAAGCATTTTTGAAAATTAAAATGGCATTTCGACCTGGACAAGTTGAATTAGATGATGGTGGTCACCACATTGCTATCAGCGCTGCTATCAATCTTCCAGAAGTGATATTTATTTACATATTAATTTAAAAGTATACTAAAAGCTTAAGACATTGACTAGATATTTCATGTATAATCAGAGTCATAATTTTAAAATAGCATATCAGTCCTTTAAACTCTGAATAGCTTTTTGCTAGGAAATTAATGTTTATCAAAATTCCAGGTTTTTCATGATTTCGATGCTGCTTTACCTGACTTTAATGAATTAGATGTGCATGCACAACTTCATATCAATCAAAGTCGACTTGATGATATTACTTTGAAGGAAGATCTTATTCCGGAAGCAGCATCAGATATGCCATTTGGGGAGGAATTTGGAGTATGGTTGATCTTTTTTCTGTGTGACATAGCTTGTTTTTTGTTTCCGTTAAAACATAGGTGATGTTATGTAGCTGTGAAACTGTTTTGAAGGGTGACGATTTTGGTGAAAATTCACTTGGTTTTTTCAACGATAATATCGAAGAACCTCGTGAACGAGTGTCCGATGTCCTGGAAAATTTAGGTGGAACGATTGTGAAATCAGGAGCAACAATGCTGGAAGAATCTCGGCCAAATGAAATTAGAAATGACGATATCAATTTAAAAGAGATAGACGTTGATATTGCTGATCAACTCGGAATGCCGTTGCCTGATGATGATTTTGGAGATTTTCCTACTGACAATATGTTAGATGGTAATCTACTTGATTACCACTTGAAAGTGTACGAGGATAATGCATCTGCTTTCATAGATGAATTTCGTCGATCTTAAATTTTTAGTTAATTATAAAAGATAATTCAGATTTTGAGCCTAATCATGCAAATAAAACCACTAAGTTACAGATGTAATTTTCAATGAAAATGAGTTAGCAAAAAGTTTGGATGCAATGGAAGCACCTGGAGCAGATCAAGATATCCCTTTGGAAACGGATGACATTGCAGCAGCTGCTATAGCAGGCCTTGTTAATCCTACTGCTGGTAAGTTTTTCTTTTCGAACTATTTTACTGATTGCTTTTATTTGTTAACTAATTCTAATTTATGATAGTGATTTAGGTGTCCTAACCAGTGAGAGTTTTGCTCTTGAACCCTTGGATGTAGCAGCTGTTGTGGTTGCTGGAATTGAAAAACCAGGCCGGTCGAAGCGGAAACGTAGATTAGTAATTGATGAGCAAAAAAATATTTCTGGTGATGAAATGAAAGCAAATATGGCAGATTTTAGGTATAGCTAGACATTTTTCTTTTCCCAATTCCATGAGTTTCAAGTAGGTTGATTCATTAAACAGTAGTCTTAGTAGGCTGAATTTTTTTTACCATCCTTTACCTGTTTTTAAGTTTTACAAATTTTCATTTTTTTGCATGATAAACTTTAAATTTGGTTTTTTCACACAATACTTTGAGATTGAAAATTATGGAAGATTTTTTTGAAATTTATTTCAGGGACACTTTGCAGTCATTAGACCTAGCACCACCCACGAAGAAGCTGATGAAGCTTAAAGAAACTGGAACAGCCGACAAATTATTCATTAATCCGGGATGTCCACATCTGCGGGCTAAATGCTTATTAAGAGTAAAAATTCAGAGACAGTTTGCAATGTATTGGACTTTTTGCGAAGTATTATGAACGGTGTAACTGTGGTCGAATATGTTTACTTAATTTCTGTTTAGAAATTTTTCAGTCAGATGAGTTTCACAACTCTTTCATTTTACAGCTTTACAATGCGAATCTTGTTTATCGTGTACATTGCGCCAACGTAGTAAATGTTGATCAGATAAAGAGAGATCTGGAAATGGTCGAAAATGTTGACGTTAATATTGAGCCTGAGGGAAGCATTGTCTCAGGATTCATGGTTATAATTTTTTGATCTTTTGCTGTCATACTTGCACTCATTACATAAGCTTTTTATTTTAAGGGTTTTGTCTATTTTACGTCTTCAAGTGTGTGCAATTTTAGGATGACCGTATGGATGATTTTGAAGAAACTCAATTAGCAGTGTTATCACCGGATGAGAATTTAGGCCCTCTTGACACAATACAAGAGGAAGAAATTTCTGCTGTGCCAGAGGAACAAATATGTACCGATATTGCCAGTCCTGAAAAAAAGAAAGAGCGTAAAAGTCGACCTGAGGTTTATGATTATATTAGTGTTTAAATAGCTTAATTTGTTTAAAGTTTTAATGAAAAGTCTGATTCAATGGAATCAGTTTCCATTTAATTAGATAAATATCTCATTAAATGGGAACTAAATCATGTGATCTGAATCTGTGTACACATTTTTATTATATTCAAAAACTTTTATGAAAAGAAATTTAGTGTATTTGTTGTATTATAGCGTACGATTGATGAGGATGAGACTGGTGGTGATGGTGAAGATGAACATAGGTGGACAAAAAGAACGCAAAATGTCTTGAATTCTATTTCAAGCAAGATCAAAGCTTCGGCTGATGGAAAAGTATGGTTTTTTAATAATTTTTTTGCTTAATTGTTGTCTGCAGAATTCATGCGGACAGATGCTTCAGTAACTTTTAAAAGAAAGAATTGTTCGTTTTTTGATATTAAACAAGTCTTACAACTCAAAGTGTGAAATGCGAGCAGTTTGTGCATAATGCCAAGTTTGTATTTGTTTTATTTAGATACTTTTTACCGATCTTTTAACGAAGGGGTCAACACGAAAAACTGCTGCACAGAAATTTTCAATGTTACTTGTTTTAAAAAAGTGGCAAGCAATCGACTTGTGTCAAGCAGAACCCTATGGAGAAATTGAGATTTCTGCTGGTCCTAATATCACATCTGCCGTTTCTTCTTAATTTATCTTTTTTGTTTGCTCTGATGTTAGGTTAAAATTATTTGATGTGGTGGCAATAGTCATGCAGTATTCTGGTCATAACCAGATTTTCAATGCATTGCTTACTGAGAAAGTAAATATTTTGACATCCTTTTAACGAAGGAGTGGAACTGTGAAACAGTATTAAAATATGATGCTTTTATTTTCTATGTTAAAATTACATATTGCAAAATTCTGACTGAATGTACATAAAAATTAGAATCAAATTGTTTAGTTATTTTCAGAAAAATAGATTGATGTGGCATGCATAACTTTGGATGTCTTTTGATGTTATGATTTTCGAATATAAAGTCATGTATGTAGATATATATATCCTGCGTTAAAATTTCCTGCGAGAATCCGTCCAATTGTTAATTTATCCTTCATTATTCTTTTGTCTTTAACTTAATAAATATTTCTTGCAGTAATGCTTTGTACAGATTCATATGTGGAGAAATGTTGGTGAGTTGTCTTTGCAGTTTCTAGTTTTCCATTGTAATTCTAATTTTATGTACGTACTTTAATCTCACTGTAAACGATGCAGACTATAGATCAGTCTTTTATTTTCCTCTAAATTTCTATGTATCGAACCTCTACTTTATATTATGAGATTTTAAAACTTGCCTCATATTTTCAACCTGTCTATAACATACAGTACAATACTCTGAAATTACAGACTTTTTTCTTCCAACAGTGGCGTAATCAATGATGTAAAATTTCTACACTTTCTGTGTTACGTGCAGATTCTTTTCATTACATTTGCTTATTTTGTACGCATTTTTAATGACTTGTAATTAGTGCTTGTTCGTCTACTTTTTCTTTTATGCAGACATGTTTTTATCAGAATAGTGGGATAAAATTGTGGTTCCCATCTTTGATCTCTACGTAATTCTAGATCCAGCATATTGCATGAACATGAATGCTTAAGTTTGTTATGTCTTTGCTCTTTACTTTCTGTATCAGGTTAGTAATTTATTATGGAAATCTGTTCAGCTTGTTATCAATGTAATGTACTCATTTCTTTCCCAGAATGTTGATTTTTCATGCAAATGTGAAAACTTGCAGTATTGAATATGAATTATGTGTATTTAATGTTGTCCATTGCACAGGAAAAGCACAACTGACATCAGGAGATGAGTTGTTTGGGTTTTTTAATTCATGTAGTGCCTAATTTGAAGTATAATGGCGCCAAATAAAGAAAACAGGAGTGCAAGGAATTGAGGGGTAGGTAAGGTTAATCTGAATTGCCTTTTGAGATAGTCGTGTTATTTCGGAAGTTGGGATGCGTTGCGCAAGCAAGTTAACAGAATCTAAATTAAATGGCCTAAAAACAGTCAGGAATTAAATTTTAGGATT